TATCCCAGCGCTTTGAGTAAGAAATACCTATAATATGGTGTATGGGGTGTTAGAATTCAAAGATGGAGAAGTGGTAAATGGGATGTAACACTATATAATACTAAAGGTTCATCGTACACATGAACGGAGGGACTAGAAATCCAATACCTTGCAAGTAAAAATACAAGCGAGGTCTTTGGTCTCCGTTTTTTTGGGGGGGGTATTGTATAATATTCATTTTTTTATAAAATAATAATAATAATAATAAGATAAGAGTAATGGTCCAGCATCCTTGTCATATGAAATATCATAAAAATACAGACTCTAATAGAAAGAAGTGAGTGTGTTCAATAACCTTAATCGTCGCACATCACAGTTTCCTAAGTGTTCTCTATTTTTAATGGTCCAACTTGCGGCGGAAGCTGCAGCCCTGTACCAGCTTCGCCCTGCCGCCGGTGGGTCGGCAAAGCTTCGTGGAGCAGCCCTTGCAGATGACCTCAGACGTCGCATGGGAATACACGATAGTGATCCCACTGCAGCCGGGGCACTTCACATCCATGAAGTAGGAGTTGGGGCCCTGGACAAGACGGCGACGCTTGTGCTTCATGCGCTCCGAGCGCACCGTGGGGTAACTCAAGTCCGAATCAAAGAAGCCCATGATGGTGTATTTCGCGAGATGCGTGCTTGTTTAGTAAGCGACCTAATAAAACAGGACCTATACATAAAGAAAAAGGATAAATGAAAAGGAAGGATAAAATAAATCTAAAAATATAAGCACTTAAAGTGCATAGTGTCAAGGGCAGATGGTGGTAATTTGCCACCGCCATCCGCAGATTAGCAACGCTGCACAACTGCAACGCAACAGAGCTCTACTTAGTTAATCAAATTTTAAATGAAAATTATGTAATGAGTGCGAAAAATGAAATGGAGAAAAAGCCTGAAAACCTTACTTCTTCACAAGCTTGGCGCCAACTGGGGCACGCGAGACGACCACCTTCTTGACGGCGGGCTTCTTTGTGATAGTCTTACCCGCGATCTTCTTGGAGATGGCGTTTTGGCGCTCGATCTTCTTCTTGTGCTTGTTGCTGGTGCGCTTCTTTCGGATCTGGAACTTGGCGTGGGCGCTGAGGGCCTGGCGGACGATGCGCTGCTCCTCCGTGAGGAAGGCACGCACGATGCGGTCGCGCACCTGATCGTGGCTGAGCACGCCGCCGTACGCGCGCGAGACGCTCTTATCGTGGCGAGACGCGAGGCGGGCCTCGATATGGCGAAGCGCCTTGGTTCCGCCGAGACGCTTATGGCCCATCACCCACGGCGTGTGAATGCCCTGCGAGCGTTTCGCGCGGTGCTGCATCACCAGGCGATTTCCCGGCGTGCGCACCATCTTCACACGGTTGCCTCGCGTCGCGTAGTGCATACGACGGCGGTAGGACACACGTGGGCACTTCATTCTGTAAGGGGATCGCGATGTTGTTGCTCTTGCTTTTTCTTCTCAGCACCTAAACCGTGAGGCGTGCATCATAAAAAGGATGAGAGAGAGAAAAAAAGAGAGACAGAGAAGAAACGGGTTAATAAAAGTATGAAGTTCATGTAATGAGATACCTTTCAAATTCAATAAGCAATAGCGATATATAAAGTTTTTTTTCAGTTTCTCACAAAACTCAATAACGAATCAGCAGCCTGGTATCCCAGCAATGTGTAAAAGTTTATAGAAAATGCAGGAAAACCTACACTATTAGTATTTTAACGCGTTTACGCTAGCTGTCAATTTTGGCTTTGTCTAGTCTCCGCCTCTTTCTTCGACGTAACGTGGGCAAATCGTCCTGGGGATCCATAATTTCACGGAGGTGTACTTCCCTGCCAGTACATTCGCATGCAATAGCCCGCTTTCCCACATTCCTAGCTACTCGCTTTGCAGCGACTCTTTCCAGTTCGGAGAGGGGTCCGAGGAAAAATAAAACCTCACCGTGATGCTGCAGGTCAACGTAACCAATGAAAAGCGCCCCAAACTGCGTTCCATGTCGAAGTAGGAACCCGTGCTGGATGGTAAGCACCTGATAAATTGTGCATGCAGAAGGACAGCAACACCTCAAGTGTTCACGTTGAGCACATACAAATTCGCTTTTAAGGTTCACCTGCAAGCTATGTCGTGGAGCATCCAAAATTAAAAACTCAACCTCTTCGATACTCAGTTTCCATCCGATACTTTTTTTGAAAAACTGTGGATAGGTGTGTTGGAGTACAAGTAAAAGGTCATTTGCATTCTCGGAGTCGCCTTCTTCGATCTCGTCGATCAGAAAAAGAGGCCCCAAGACCCTTGAGATAGTAATTTGCTTTAGGAGCATTTGAAGACCCCCGTCGTCATTTCAAAAGATAAATAACTTTGTGAAACTCAATTGTGAGTGTTTGTCCTAAAATCATTCGGAGCGGGGAACTTGGCACCTCCACCACGCAGTAGAATGAGATTTAATAACCATTATCATAACAATGATGCGTATTCCAAATGCATCGGAATTGATATATTAAAAAGAAGAATTCACAAATGAATATAATGTTCGATATCACCTTACAACTCATTCATACTAGTGCTATAGGTTGATCACGAAGAATCTTGCTAGTTCCCTCCTTCCCTCCCCCTGTCATTTACAACCCACGGACTGAACCTTGATAAAAAGGTGAGATAATCATTTGAGGCTTGGAACGATTGGACATCAAAGTAAGTCAAACTCATCCCTCAAATTGACTTACTACTGGTATTAACCAAAAGGAAAAGGAGCAAAAAATAGAAGTCAAAGAACTAGTCCTTTGACAGTTTGTAAGAAAATAAAACAAAACGGACTAACCTACCGCGCACGATGAACCCCAGCCAGAACAACATACAACCACCACCACAAAAAGAGCCCAGATAAATACACTTTCCGGTGCTGTGCACATGAAACCGTCTTATCCTCGTTCTGGCTCTCCCACCACGGCATAAACAGCGAACTTCAGAATCGCATTTACACCATGATTGGACTTGTTCGCCCCGTGCTCTGTGGGCGCCTCGGGTTCCAACGGCCCTGGAAGATCGGTCGGTACTTCATCTTTGACAAGTCGAAGACGATGCCATCTCGGTTGGTGACGTAGCGCTCCTGGTCGTATTCCACCGGGTCCGATTCCGGCAGCCCCTTGCGCCGCTCCTCCATCATAACCCTCCAGCGGTTGTAAGTTTCCCGATCCATCCCGATAATCCGTCCCGTCTTGGGGTCCTCGACGATGATCTCCTCCTCGTTTCGTTCGTGGGCGAACTTGCAGATCGGGATGCTCGCGGCCTCCCACGGCATGACCACCGACCGCGGCGAGTCCTCCGTGATGGGATTGACCCCATTGTTGAGCATTCGTTGGAGTCGGCGCTCCAGTGGCTCCCCCTTCGGCCGCTCCTGGATCTCCCGCATCGTGGTATTCTCGATGTAGTCCTCCAGCGTTTCCTTCGGGTACCAATGGAAATAGGAAGGCAGGCGATCCCACACAACCTCCTCCCCGGGCTCGAGCATCGGCCGCAGCTTCGTCCCGCTCGTCCCGGGCCGCACCAGGCGGCCGTCGGAGAGTTCGTGATAGCGCGGGCCGATTCCGGTGCCCTGGACAGAGCGGTAGCGCTCCGCCACGGGGTTGGGACGAAAGAAATTCGAGGAGAACTGGCGAAAGGGCAGGATCCCCAATTGGGTATCCGAGAGCGAGAACTGGTCGTTATCGACGAAGTCGCCAAAGCACTCGACGCCGTAGGAGTTGGTGGGGACGGGGTTGATCACCGCCAGCGCGGCCCGGCGGGAGACGGAGAGCTGGACGCCAAAATGCCCGCAGGCCTTGGGAGTGGTCAGGCAGTGGATGATCGAGCCCCGCTTCTGGAAGGCGATGCGGAGCTCCTCGTCGATAAAGTGAAGGTTGCGCCCGGTGCCGAGGAAAATCACGTCCGGCACGGGGTAGAGGTGGAAAAGAATTGACAAGGTCCGCCGATTCACCTCCTCGAAGCTGCTCACATTCCAGTGATAGTAGCTCCGCTCCGTCACGATGCAGGACCCGATGACCTCCTTGTCGTTGACAAAAACGCTGTCCGGGGAGTACGCGGTGATCCGACGCTTCGACATCCCACGAGGCTCCTCGATCCGATTTGCGAAGGGATTCGCATAGTACTGGGTGGCCATCTTCTCCTCGTTGTAAAAGCGCTCCTGGCCTTCCCGAGTTTGCAGCGAGGCCCCGCTGGCGGAGCGGCCGGATTCCCGCTGCCGCTTCAACCACCGCGCGAGCTCCACGCTGTCCTGCGGCCGATAATCCGGCATGCGTTTAAATGGGTCGTACTTGGGGTCGCTCGGGTGCGCCCGACGCCGCTTTTGGGTGTCCCGAGACGACAGTTCTTCGCGTTTCGACTCGGCGGCGAACTTGCGATACTCGGCCTCGTTCTCGACCTGCAATTGGCGACGCAGCAAGATGAGCTCTTCATCCACCTGGTAGTCCTTCTCCTCGGGCAACTTCACCTTCTTGTTGGCGGAGTCTAAATCCATGTAGTTCTCGCGCGTCCCGACCCCCAAAAACGGGTACCCATCCTTCGTGGTCTTGAGGTTTCCATCTTTCACCACATCCTCCATAGTAATGCTTTGGTCGCGAATCCACCGGCGATCACGCTCCATCATGTATTCCTCGATTGACTGCCCTGGACGGATGCCAATGCGCACACTCCCTTCCTGCTGTTGTTGGATCTTCTCGTAGGACTCCGCGCTTAATGGGTGCTCCGTTAGAGGGTTGTCGCGCGGATCAGGTACATATCTTCGAACATATTTTTGCAGAAGCAACTTCGCACGTATCTTCAGCCAATTCTTTTTATTACTGAGAAGTAAACTAGACTCTTTCATACGGTTCTTTATCCCCTCAGGAAAAACAACGCCAAGTTAATCCTATGGATGTACTTTCCTAAAACTTCCCTTTCGTTTTAGACTTCAAAGAGTAAAGGTAGAATATATAACCAATAAAGACGGCGTATAGTCGCGATTATGTTCCATCATCTTCAGTTAGGTGGGGCACCAGGTTATTGAAAAAAATCATTATGATTATCTGCTTTACCTTGCCTCGGCTATCTCATCTCCATTAGGAGTAATGACAAATTATGAGAAACTCGCTTACAAGGAAAAGCAGCAAAACATCATCCGGCGTGTTATATAACTAGGAAGAAGAGAAATGCAAATGTGATTATTAAATTACTTGCGCCGTATCATGCTGCTGTAAGCTTGCAGTACCATATAATCACATTTTAGAGTACCTTAGACACTAGGACGTCTTCTAAGCCAGAAATGTAAGGCAAATAAGCGGTATGGGAGATATTAGAAAACAACAGACTCCTCAAGCGTGGCCAACTCGGCATCGGTCAGTCTAAGAGCCCCGCACGCTCCATGGCGAGGAATAACAACAAAACGACGCTGAAGGGCATCCTCCGGGGTCGGAACGAGAATCACGATCTCATCGTTCTCCTCATCGACGTGGCAAATCACGAAAAGCCCCGCCACCGGTGCAAGCGGCACCTCTTCGATGATCTCCGCGTGCGAAAGCGCACAAACGAGCCGGCGCCAGCCGGGTGCCGGGTACACCCTCCGAACCCCAACCCCTGAAGGGTTCTCCAAATCGCCGCCGACGTACTCGAAAAACTGCAGTGCTTTTGAGGACATCACAAGCTTGGAGCACCCCAGCATCGTGGTATTGGGAGAGCCAACAAAATACTCTTTTATTCGAAGGTGCGTCGGCGGAGATGGGCACGGATGCGCGCAAGGCTCCGTGAAGGCAAACTCGCAATCCGGCAAGACACGCTGGATATCCTCCTGGAGAAAAGTGAACCAATCCTCGCTTGCATCATCGCGGCTACAAACGATAACAACATGCGTTGGCTTCACGATTTCAATGAACTTTTTGTAGAAAACTTCCTTTTTCAAATCTGATAATGGTGATGGTGCATCTAAAATGAGATGAGCTCTCTGTGGTGGCAGACATTCCTCCTGCAAATATAGATTGCAAGTATCATAGAGCTGCCCACAAAAGTGAATAAAAGCAGAGATATCCTTGGCAGATGGGCGCGTTACAGACCCAGTGTAAAACGAAAGTGGCAACATTGTCGGAGACGCAATCCTTTCCAGCCATAGAGGGTCATCACGAACTTCAACAAAAGAAACACATCCTGGACTAAAGATACAATTTGACTCTGCGTTGAAATCAAGGAGAAAGTACCTATTTAATGCATTATCATCCTTCCCCATTCTATAATCTCGTAAGAGGTTGATGATAGTGTGTGCCGCCAGCGATTTACCACTGCCCTCCTTTCCTATCACGAGAACTTTTGACGTCTTTAGAGGAAACAACGTTCGACGTGTGAACTGGACCAAAGGTACAGCCCCTGATGAGTGCCTAAAAAAATTCATAGATTCCTCGCTCGTAATGTTCGCGGATCCCCCCTCCAAGGTGAACAAGATCACAGACGTTCTTTCAGAGTGTAAATAGAAAGAGTAAGGACGATTCGCCTCGAGTAAGACCCCAGCGAGGTGCAAGACACCAGTGAGCAAAGTAACCGTTATTGGTCCATTCCCAGTTATGGTACACTCCTCACCCGCGCTGAGCGTTAAACGACGCTGGTACTTAGGAGTCATATCCCGGGAATGGTTGTTCACCCAACAGTCTAAAATTAAGGAAGGAATATAAATTATATGAAGTTGTAAGTATGTGAACCTCTTTAGGTGAGCTTTTTGATGAATTTACTGTGATTACTGCGTGTAATAACAAATTTGGGTTCTATAGGAATTTACCATATTCTGAATAATATCTTTTGGGTATAGAGCACAAGAAAAGAGTTATATTTCTAGATTTACTTCATTTAAATGAAAAAAAAAAATGCAATTTATAACCCTCGCTCAACAATGTAGCTCGTCTTCCTTGATTTTCATGAATTTTATTGAGGTTTAATGATTTACCTTATATTTTAACATTTGAAAAAGTCTGAACCCATAAAGTGAAAATGTTTAAGAAACCTCCTCAGCAAAACTATCACTGTAGGGAGAATGACAAAAGGAATTACAAAATAATATGGAAATAAAATTGGAGCTTCAGTACAAAAATAAGCCTCCATATCATTCCATGAATATAACACGAATAACTCAGAACACTTTAGAATATCTCACAATCGTGCATATCACCTGAACAAAGTATCAAAAATATACTAGAAGTACATCACCTCTCACCTGCCACAAGTATTACATCCAAAGGTTCAAATAAATGACTCAAAAGGCGTACAATTTACCCTAATGAGATGAAAACACCGTAGAATATAGAATGTATCCCTCACTTGGGTTACTCCATAGGTGGGCATTTCTTCAAATAGTGGAATAGTTCAGCAGAGATTAAACCTCACCCTTTCTCGAGAACACTTTTACGTGTTTTTATTTTGGATACTATCCAATATAATTTGGAAAAAAATCAAAAGCATTGTAGATTAATGTTGGTACAATACAATATTTTATAGTTACTTTTTTTATTCAATATTCGTAAAATACAAATGAGCCTTTCGTCAATCCCTTATCAAAAGGCGCAACTGTTAAAAAACCTTTTGTGGAAAAATAAAATGATCATTTACTTTTTAATATTTTCTCTGTGGAAGTAAATTCAAGAAATCTATAAATACTGAACAAAAATTCTAAAAGCTCTGATTAAATCCAATGACATTAAAATATATAAACATTTAAAATAGTATCTATTTAAGTGGGCATATACTATTTATGGTATTTTTCCTTATTGTGCAATCACAATTGTGTAAGCGTTTTGTTTTCATTCTTTATCTCCTCTGAATAAAATAATTAAATTACCTCTTAAATTAGTGAAAAAAAATAACCGTGACACGCAAACGTCTCTAAAAAGTTAAAGATTTCTTTATAGTACCAGCATTCTACAAAGGAAATCAAAATTAGTCAATTAGCTTTCTTCATAGAAAATAACACTTATGTGTCACACCTATAAAATTTTTCTATTCTCTGAATACCCGATCTTTAGACGCGTAACTTATATAAATTATATATTGAGATGAGAACAAGGAGGTCGTTTTGCCCAAGAAGGTTCACAGCACGCGGCCCTCGCCACCACCGACGTGGCCCCCCCCTCCACGGGAGTCCGAAGCCTCAAAAGCAGCTCCTCCGCGAGGTACTCCATATCACAGGGAAAATGTTCAAAGGCGATGGTGAAGAGCCGATGCAGGTCCTCGCTCTCATGCAGCGGGGACAGGAGGGCAAGCACGTCATCCGCGTAGAGGGAGAGCTCGTGCCGCTGTAAGAGGTCATCCCCGCGGGAGAGAAAGGAGAGCCGGCGCTGGCGGAGGACACAGAACGCGCTGGCCCCTTGCAGGAAAACGTGGGTGCGGGGGGGATGAAAGGACAAGGAAGAGGAAGGGG